ATAGAAAGAAGGGGTGCCCAAAAACAACATGGAGACGAACGATGGAGAGTGACCTGGATGCGGCATCTCTGACATGGAAAACTGCACTGAAGATTGCAAGGACAGGAAAGCATGGAAAGTCCTCTCTGAAGCCTCATGTACCACTAGGCATAAAGAGAATTGATGATTCCTGAAACACACGGGGAAAGGCTTTTTTTCTAAAGAAACTTACATTTGAGAACACAAAGGGAATTCGTAGAGGCTTATGCAGTCTGTGAGGCCCCAATCGGTAGCATTAACTAGCTTATGTCTAAATCCGGCGTTGATAAGGACTCACTCTTTAGCTGGTATGGTGTGTGTGTGTGTCGTTCAACCCCGCCAGGGCCGTACAACGAGCGACCAACATTCGGTGACACAAAGTGCTACAATTTTGATGAGGATCCTCTGGGCACGTACCAGAAGCCGCGTTCAACCGTTAGGTTAAATTAGGGCCTCAGACACCAGCCGAGGTGGGGCTTTAAAATGACCAAAACATGTCAGAGCCCCCTTAACAACATGATGGGCCCCTGGTCAAAGCAGTGTGCTAGGGCCCTTACGACAACCACTCACAGGAATGGCAAGTCACTTGACATACATTGATTAGGATGGGACCAGTATACGCGTGGGGCCCCAGGGTTAGTGTCCAACGGGCCCGTGCGCTAAGATGGCACTGGCTAGTGCTGACACCTAGCATCTTTCGAATAAAGGTATTTCACCAATAAAATATCGACAGGTACTTAGAAGTATTAATTATTTCCCCTGGAATACCGACTAACAGGACTTACCGTTCATTTTGTTTTAACTTTCTCTCACGGCTGTAACCCGGATGTTTGACAAAATCTTAGTCTGAAAGTCTAGTTAACAGAACAATATTCATATACCCACTTCAACCTACCCCCCCCCCCCCCCTCCTTCTCTCTCCCTCTTCTTCTTAGCGTTCGCTGGTTATAAACTCCGGTGAAAAATTTTGATTTTTCGTCCTCTTCTGGACTGTGGTCGTGCTCCAGAACTCGAGTTGTGCATGCATATCGTTTTTATAGATGTGGCTTATGTGTATGCAGACTGTTGGTTCCTTGCCTCCCAGGTGCACTCCGACTTTGAAGGAAACACCCTAATTGGTCTTTTCTTCTTTTTTTTTCCCGCAAAATGAGGACATGGAATCCACACTGGAAATTATTGTTATTATGTTTGTAACAAGATTTAAGATCCTTGCCTTCTTCTCATCTGATCTTGATCCTCTTGCACTTTGTAGAGACGACGTGAACAGACTATATTAGAGAAGATATGTTTCGTTCTTTTTAGGACGAATTTTTTTTTAAACCCCACCCTGGCTTTTGCCAGGGGCCTTAATATAGGCAGGCAATAAATGTGGCCAATTGTCTGGGACCTCTTCACAGCGATCCTCATCCACATGGTGGCACTTTGTGCCATCGGGTGTTTGTCGCTTGTGTGATGTCCTGGTGGGGTAGAAAGTCAATCAGTCAGTCGATGACGTGAAGTATCTTATTTGTACTCTTTGTTCACCGGCTGTAAGCTAGCGTATGTTCTATTTCCGAGCTCATATCTAGATTTTCTTAAAAGGGACAATTTTCGGATTTTTTCCATCTTCTAAGTACCAACGGACAGTCGGGGCACACCTGGGAAAAAAAAACAGGACTGTCTCGGTGAAAAGGGCACGGGTGGTCATTTCTATTACGACCGGCTCCAGCTGACGGGCCGTGCTGCTGACGTCACAGGGTCGGCTAACGATGCATTAACACAGCGGTTCTCAAATTGGATGCCAGATCACCTTAGGTTGTCGTAAGCGTATGCCAGGGGTACCGCGGCAATAATCAAGAGAAGTCGGCTGAAAATTGTGAAATTTTTTTTTTTTTATGTAGATGCTTAAGAGTTAAAATTTGAGTTGTCTTCCCTCGCCCCTGTCGAATATAGTTTATTTCTTGTTTGAGAACCGCTGCGTTAACGCATCATTAGCCCGACCCGGTGACGTCAGCAGCACGGCCCGTCAGCTGGAGCCGGTCGTGCTTCTATATACACGTAGCCCCTTTCCCCATGGTGAGGGTGGGCAGAGAGGTTGAATCCTCGTGACCTCAATAGTCTAAGCCCCTAAAGTACCAGCATCCCTACGTCCCAATTCTCTAACTTTATTTCTAATTGTATCGTCTCTATCGAAATTCCAGTGCTCTTATCTAGAATCTCATTGATTTATTTTTTTTTCCTTTTTTTTTCATGCCAATGGCTAAAAATAATGTGAGGTGGTGGGGAGAGGGTGGCATGTGTGCGTGAGCACGTTTGTGTATAAAATACATTCTTCTTCTTCTTCTTCTTCTTCTTCTTCTTCTTCTTCTTCTTCTTCTTCTTCTTCTTCTTCTTCTTCTTCTTCTTCTTTATGTTCACCGACTATAAATGCCGGCCAAACGTTCTGATTGTTCATCCTTTGCTGAAATTTAGTAATGTTCCACAATTTGTGGTTTGTTTACACATCCGTTTTACAGATCGGGTTAATTTGTATGCAGACTGTTGGTTTATAGCCTCTCAGACAGGTGCAAAGCCCTAATTAGTCGACGCCTACTACATGCTTATTATGTAGGTAATGGGTTTACCACCCCCCCCCCCCCCGACAATGGGGCCCCTTAATCCAAACATTGAATAAAATCGTCGGACATTTGTTTTTCAGTGTTAGGATGTTTCAACCACGGCCTTCTCTATCTGGAGAAGGCCGTGGTTTTAACAACCTGGTATTAATTTTGCGATACTATAATAAAACGATCAAAACGATTGACGACTGTACTGTACGTTTGGCAAACTTTTTCGGATTCTTCCTCTTAACCAGTTTATCACTTGTGTTTTCAGACGACAAATGACATGGCCTTGTCTACAACTTCTAAGTATTTTACTCGATTGTCAAAGTCTGCACTGTCTGTAGTTTTGTCGCCGTCAGATCATCTATCTGACACTGCTTATAGCCGCAGAAGTAGAAGTTCTGATAGTGACACCCGCCGTGCGCCACTACTTGTCACTTCTGGTTCTAGTTCTAGTTCAACTAGTAGTTCTTCTACTACAAGAAGTACCTCTGCTGCTGCTAAGGAAAGTAACGATAACAAAATTATTAACATGAATGAAACTGTTAAAACAAATAAAAGGGACTGGAAACGGCCGCGAAGAATGCTCAAATCAAGAATGTCATTAAATACTGCCCACAGTTCTACCGGTAACATTACTATTACTAACATGGTTGCATCGGCTGGTATAGATGAGAAATATTCACTTCCACAGAAAAGAAGACAGCTGTCAGTTCCACACGATGGAGTTGATAATCCGACCGCAGTAACAATTCACTCTGCACGTCCAGATCAAATAAGAGTTACACGTGCAGAAGCAGAAGTATCTTATGATGCTTCATACAGACTTGACCAATGCAAAAACAGAAACCGTTGTGATCATATAAAAGTTGAATTTGAAGAAGAAACTATACCTAATTCTCAGTCATCGTTGACATGTATACCTTCAAACCAGACCAAATGTAACATTCAGAATAGGAATACTCCAGATTTGCATACTGATAAACTCATAGTAGAAACTTCTGGTGCAGATTCAATCAGAGACTTCCATTACAGTGAGCTCACTCAATCAGCCAATGCTGGTTTTAAGCATGATGATGTTCTTCTCAAGCCAAAAGATGAACTTTCACTATCAGGCAATTTGGTTAAACAAGAAGACCATGCTAGTGGCTTGCAGGTGTCCTCAAGTACAGGAGAGAAATGTCACACTACACTATGGTGCCCTCCCATGTGGCAGGAGCAGATTGCAAATATCAGAGAAATGCGTAAGAACAGAGATGCTCCAGTTGATACTATGGGCTGCAGCGTTATTAGTGACAGGACTGCTAAACCAGAGGTGAGCTTGTTTGTGCTTTTTCTAGAGGTTAGTCTCTTCTTCTTCTTCTTCTTCTTTGTGTTCACTGGCTGTAAACGCTGGTAGAAAGTTCTGGTTGTCATCCCCTTCTGAACTAGTCTTGGTCCAGAACCTGAGTGTTGCGTGCACATTCATTTTATAAATATGGTTTATTAGTATGCAGGCTTTTGCTTCCTTGCCTCTCAGGCAGATGCAGTCTGTCTTCGAAGGATGGCCCAGTAAGTTGAATCTTACGACAAGCTTGATGGGGAGGCAGTGGGTCTATTCTCGGAACTCCCATGGGGAGGTCAGGCAGTTCAACATCAGCATGCATCTGTGTAAGGTTGGGGCGATTTTGGGGCATCTGTGTAGTGGATATGCGCATCCCCCACTGTCTTTGGGGACTATTGTATAATGATGCTCTGATCTTTTCCTAAGTCCGCTTTCAAACCATTGTCTACCCCGTGTGGATTTTTTTTTATATGCATCAATACACACGGACGTCTGATCTTGCTACCAGGAAACCAGGGGAAATTACTAGAAGTCCACGTAGAAATATTCCAGCCTTCACCGGGGCCTTAACCCGGTTACTCCAGCACTCGAGGTGGACGTCATGCCCCGAGACCACCTAGCCCCTAGTGAAGGTGTGATGCCATTAAAAGCCAGCAAAGCTTGTATATATCATCAGTTTCCCATCCGGGCTGCTAACTAAAGATTTGACCACTCGTGGCAGAATCTTGTCTGAATGGCAAGCCAACAGGACAAATTCTAGATACACCGTTCAGCCTCCAAATAAGTTATAATTGGGGCACTCATAACGGCCACATCTTCATGCATTACACTTGTTCGACCACTTTTAAACTTCTCGATCCACAAAATAAGTTGATTTGATTCAAGAACCGACATCACACCACCTGGGCGAAGAGTTCCGATACTAATGGTGCCAGTAGCATTCTGATTAAACATCCGTCTTGCCTTTCCTCTGAGCCTCGAGCATCTGCCAGAACCTCTCGTCACTCGCCACTGCATCAATCTCACCAGACTGTGGTGATCCATCTGCTCCTTTGAACTGTACACGCTCTCCCACAAGGCACTAACCACATCTGCCTTATCATGTATCAGTATTCCACCAAGTTGTGCAGAGCCAGCCAGTCTGTCCGCCTGTTCATTCATTCATCACAAAAACAGTTTTACTTGATAGTGCACTTCCCATTTGCTGCTATGATAGTCAACAATGAATTTATGAACCTTTGACTCCGAGCAGAAGAATCATATCACTACTCGTTATTCTCCTTTGGTGCAAACTTCTAATGGAGTGGCCATGATCTATGTGCAACAGAAGGAAGAAAAATGGCAGAATTAGGATCAAGCTTTCATAACATTACCACGACAGTATAACAGTAAAATAAAGCGAGGACAGAAGTTAGTGTGGACAATGCAAGAAGAGTTATGTCAAACATGTAGATAATTTTTGACACCCCCTCGTAATTTCAGAGGCACTCTTAGAGGTTTCAAACTAAAGAAATGTTGTTATATCATGGTCTGCTAATAAAGAAGCAGTCCTGTCCAAAAAATATATAGTGGCATATCTACTTCTTCTTTTTCAACATTCTGAGCCCTTGGGGTTCATTGCTGCAAATATCATCCACCTTCGTTCATCTCTATGGTTGGCCTTCACTTTCCATTTGATGACTCCAGTATAGTGACACATGGTATTACAAAACTAAAAAAAAAACATTTTTACTTTATCACATATTTGTTGATAGACGTGGAACATATATGTATATATGTGTATGTATATAATATTTACATTGTCAGCTTTTAGTGTTTGTTATGCTGAATTTTTTCCCCTTCTTCATGTTCACTGGCTGTAAACTCTGGTGGAAAGTTCTGATTGTTTGTCCGCGTCTGGACTTTAGTCTTGTTCCAGAAATTGAGTGTTGCATGGACATCCGTTTAACAGATCTGACTTCATTATATGCAGATTGTTGGTTCTTTGCCTCAGGCAGATGCACTCCGACTTTGAAGGAAGACCCCAATTAGTTGACACTTATGACATGCTTGTTGGGGAAGCAGTGGCTCTATGATTGTTTTCCCCACCATGGGGCCCTGGAACTCACATAGGGACGTTTAATAATGTTTCTGTAGCTTATATGTGTTTTTTCTCAAACAGGACTACAGGTACCAGGTTTTGTTGTCTCTGATGCTGTCGAGCCAAACAAAAGACCAGGTCACATCTGGTGCTATGAGGCGGCTTAGACAGCATGGATGCACCATCAGCAACATACTTTCCACTTCAGATGGTGAACTTGGGAAACTGATCTATCCTGTTGGATTTTGGAATGTAGGAATCTTTTTTCTGGGTCATCTTTATTTTCATATAAATAGCTGAACAGTATTTTTTATTGTGTTGTGTATTGTTTTCTGTTGATCTTACCAAGGGATTTAATTGGATTCGTGGGAAAAATATGTTCAGCACGCGCAAGGAGATTGTGTCTGCCTACCTTGCTAAGCTTTATTGAGTCGTTCCACAGAGGTTTGAAAGGTACAATCAGATTTCACTGTGTAACATTGGAGGAGTTTGTAATCAACAGTGGAGTTAAGCAGGGATGTGTACTTGCTCTTACCCTTCTTTGAAGTAAGCTTCTCACTTCTTTTGAAATATATCTTTCGAGATCAGGAGGGGGGTATATTCATCCGTTCTCAATTTGACATCAGCCTCTACAATACTCTTAGGCTGAAAGCGAAAAAACCTTTGGAAAAAAAGAGTAAATTTGGCTATCAACGCTGAAAAACAAACTATCACTGGACCAAGAAATGAACATCAGGATAGGTAAGGCAGCAACAGCAATGAGCATATTAACAAAACAAGTTTAGGAGAACAGAAAGCTCAAGAACAAAAACTCTTGTCTATTAGGCTGGTGTTTTCAGCATTCTTTTTTTTTTTTATGGCAGTGAAATTTTGTCAACTTTTTTGCACCAGGAGAAACACGTGAATAGTTGCGACGCCTAAAAGGAATACTTTTCATTAAGTGGCACGATAAAAATCACAGACGCTGAGGTATTGGAAAGAGCAGGTATCACAATATTTATTTTAAATCTCAGTCTACAAAGGCTCATGTAGCTGGGTCACACATGGAAAATGAGGGATGGTAGAATCCTTAAAGCTATCCTCTATGGTAAATTACAGAGGCGTAGAAGATGTTGAGGTCAGCCTGTATTATGATATAAAGATGGGTGCAAGCAGGACAAGAATAGGGTGGGGGAGGAGGGGCAAATCAGGGAAGAAATGATTGCAAAAAGAATGACAGCTGAGCAGCTGCAAAGGAAGACACTAAACACAAGTGACGACAACAGGGGTCCTGAAATCTCATGCTATAATTGTGGAATACTTTTCCTAACGTGGGCAGGTCTTGCTAGTCACACTCGCCATCTTCATGGTCTGTGGGTCGCCTCATGACTTACTGTCATGGAATTTGGATGATGCTCTACAAAATTCAGTTTGCTATTTTACAACTTTCCAAGCTCACACTGTTGTTTCTTTCCAGGTTCGTAGTCTTGGTTAATGAAGTTCCATGTAGAGTGTCATATTTCTTCTTCTTCGCGTTCAAAGGCTGTAAACTCTGGTGGAAAGTTCTGGTTGCTCGTCCATTTTTGGACTTTAGTCGTGTTGTGAACCTAAGTATTGTGTGCACATCACTTTTACATACCTGACTTTTTTGTATGCAGACTATTGGTTCCTTGCCTCTCAGGCAGATGCACTCAGACTTTGAAGGAAGTTAGTGTACTCTTATGACATGCTTTTGGGTAGGCAGTGGGCCTATTCTTGATTTCCCCACAATAGGAATCCAGAACCCACACGGGAAAGTGCCATATTTGAATAAGAAACATTCCTTTGAAAATACATCTTCACTTAGTTGATTATATTTGCAAGTGATTTACTTATCAAACATGACGAGATTCTTTAATTTAGATGTTTTTAATCTGCTTTTTCTTCTGCTGAAATCAGAAAAAAGTTGACTATATCAAAAGAGCATCAGCAGCTTTGCTTCGAGAGTATGGAGGTGACATACCGCACTCTGTAAAAGAGCTCTGCAGTCTTCCTGGTGTGGGGCCAAAGGTGAACATGTTTTTTCTGTTTTTTACTTCAGGAAGCAACAGAAATCAAATGTCTGTGATGAACCCTGAATATACAAGAAAGAAGTTTGAACAACCGATCAACATTATAGCACATGGGTAGTAACCCGTAAGTTCTCCATTCTTCTTCTAACTCAAGCCTGAGTCCGAAGAAGCTCAGCACAGTGCACAGGCTCTAGCACCGGCGAGGATCCTGAAATACTTTGGGTAGATTTTTAACTCAAAATTTTTCTAGGCAGCGCCGTTAGGCTACTCTTTTCGATTTCCAACTGCCAAGGGATTTTTTATGTGAGCAACAGTGCACACTGGTGTCCCATCTCACTACCCAGAGACCGGGGGAATTACTAGAAGTCCAAGTCCACGTGAAAAAATCCCAGGCCTTACTGGGGATTGAGCCCGGTACCTCTAGCACTCAAGGCGGACACCATGCCTCGAAACCATGCAGCCCCCCCTATGTACAAGAAAGACAGATTCAAAAATAACAATCATATGAAACGAGGAGAGATAAAAGTAGACTACACTGCACCTTAAGAAAAAAGATCAAATGGTTCAGACATGTGCCAGAACCACCACAAGACTGAACGCATCAGATTTCAACAAGAGCTTAATTAGTTGCCTTTTATGACATGCTTGTTAAGGAGCATGGGTCTATTCCCCCTCCACCACATCACACACACACACCCCCCCCCCCCCCCCCCCACGCCCAACAAAATGGGAGCTCCAGAACCCACACAGAAAACTAAGTGACACGTGTTGAGGATGAAAGGAGTTAAAGCAGTGCCTGTGTTCCTTTAAAAAAAATCTATATGAATGATTTGAGTGCAGTGGAAGAAAGCATCCCCATTATAGACAATAGGGAGGAAAGTAAGGGACTTTTTCGACGCCTTCAGGCATATAGGGCTAGACTTATATGTTATAGACGAATCCATACTTGGTGGGTGATGTAATCAGCATCATGCTGGCCACCTTTACTTCCCTGGACTGCACCTGGTATCCACTCAAGACTGGGTTGACCTGGAAGCTAAGGTCATTTTTTAAGTCATTTTTTTTTTTTAAAGTTTAGCTCTGTCAGGACCCGAACACATGACCTCCCGATCCTCTGGCAAGCGTCTACCTGGCAGTAGAGGAAAGCAGTTGTTAAATCTCTTGTGTCTATGGGTGCTATAGAATCTTGCAGTGAGTTTTCACAGTTGATTGTAAATGTTGGAAATGTGTTACTTCAGATGGCCCATCTGGTTATGAAGGCTGCTTGGAACACTGTTACTGGGATTGGGGTGGATACCCATGTCCATCGTATCTCCAACAGACTTGGATGGGTCCAGAAACCCACAAAAGATCCTGAAGCGACAAGGAAAGCTTTAGAAGACTGGCTGCCTCGGTAAGCAAGAATAATCATCTTCTTTTTGTCATATTCACTCAAGCATGAAGTCCTGGTTGTTCGTCCACTTCAGGACTTTGTTATTTTTGTGCAGACTGTTGATTCCTCACCTCTCAGGTAGATGCACTCCAACTTTGAAGGAAACTCCCATAATTGATCTTGTTTATTCCTCTTTCCCCTACCCCCAGAATGGAGCCCTTAGAACTTGCGGGGGTGATTGAATAATAGACATCACTAGCTGTACCCTGCCACACGTTGCTGTGGCCCAGAATGGTGAAATGGAGAGGAAAGAAAATAGCTCTCAGCTAACAGTGTCTGTCATATTTCCTCTCCCCCCCCCCCCCCCCCCCCCCTCCCCCCCCCCCCCCCCCCCCCCCCCCCTCCTTCCTGACCCAGTCATATCTCCCTCTCCGAAGGATTGAAAAATCATCCATGGCAAAATTATTAAAATAGAAATAGTTAGGAAATGAGAACTTTAAAATAATATTTTAAGCTCTCTCAGCTAACTGTGTCTGGCATCCCCCCCCCCCCTTTCCACCAATCATATATCCCTCTCCGTAAGATGGGAAAGTCATCATCTGATGAAATATTGCAACTAAATTGAGCTTTGCATCCATGTCCACCCAGAGACAGATGGATAGCATTAATATGTAATGAGAAGTAAATGTGGCCAGTGTAACAGCTACCAGATCACCCATCCAGTACCAGTACTACTGCTACCACTACCACCACCACCTTCAGTACAAAAACAAAAAACAGTCACTACTGTCTGTTCAAGTCGGTGTAGCCAGAGGAGTTAGCGCTGCATGTTGTCGCCACAGAATGTTTAGTGTAACGGAGCTCCCAAAAAAGAAAAAGAAAAAACTCCATCCCCTAACCAGTGATGGAACCCATAGTAATAGTCCGTTCTATACTCACAAATAGCGGAAATAAAAAGCCCCACCCGTCATCTCCCCTCTCCGAAGGGACGAATGTTAAATGACCTTGGCATCCGTGTCCACCCAAAGTAAACTGGTCAGTCTTAGTTAACAGCTTCTGTCATCAACGAATAGTTTATGATCGAGTGAAGCGTCGCGGAGAGGATAAATGGGACTTTACTGAAATCGGATGTCTTTGGGCGAAATGTCCAGATATCGCAGCCTAGCTGTAAACCACAACACAACATGCCAACAGCCCTCTTGAGGGGAAAAAGAAAAATCAGCACTCAGTGGGTAATCGAACACTGGTCAACCACGTGAAGAGCAGAATATGTACAACTATACTACCTAAAACTGAAGAGTTTGGGCCCGATATCGCAGCCTAGCTGTAAACCACAACACAACGTGCCAACCGCCCTCTCAAGGGAGAACGAAGATTACCCGTGACATGACCAACATCACGTCGTCGCTATCGCAGGCTAGCTGTAAACCAACAAACCGAGCGGGAAAAAAGACGTAGATATCACAGCCTAGCTGTAAACCACAACACAACATGCCAGCCACTTAGTTAAGGGCCCCAAAAAAAAAATCATCACCCAGCGGGGCATTGATCGCCAGTCACCTGTGTAACACGCAAAATATACAACTACGCTACCAAGGACTCTAGCATCTGCCCAATTATATCTCCCTCTCCGAATGATTGAAACATTATTATGTGGCGACATTGTTAAAATAGAAATAGTTAAGAAATGAGAACGTTAAAATAATATTTTAAGCTCTCTCAGTTAACAGTGTCTGGCATCAACAAACCCCCCCTTCCGTGACAATCATATCCTCTACCAAGTATGGGAAAGTCAGTGCCTGACGAAATATTGTTGTTAAATTGAGCTTGGCATCCGTGTCCACCCAGATAAAAATGGGTAGCATTCATCTGTGCCGAGAATTAAATGTGGCCAGTGTAACAGCTACCACATCACCCATCAAGTACCAGTACTACTGCTACCACTACCACCACCACCGCCACAACAACACAAAACGGTCACTACTGTCTGTACAGGTCGTTGTAGCCAGAGGAGTTGGCGCTGCATGCTGTCGCCACGGACTATTTAGTTTAAGTGTGTCCCCGACATAAAACTGTGGAACTCACAGTAATATTCTGTGATTATAAAAAAAAGTACACTGTACTCACAAATAGAGGAAATAAAAACCCGCACTCGCCATATCTACCTCTCTGAAGGGACGATGTTTAACTTACGTTGGCATCCGTGTTGACCCAAACCAAACTGGACCATAAGCCATCTTAGTTAACAGTTTTTGTCATCAATGAATAGTTTTTGATCGAGTGAAGCGTCGTGGGGAGGCTAATTTGGACTGTACTGAAATTAGATGTCTTTGGGCGTAAGGGCGAACGAATATTACCCGTGACATGAACAGTGAGCATCACGTCACCGCTATCGCAGGCTAGCTGTAAACCCCAAATTTGAACTGGAAAAAAAGCGTAGATATTGCAGCCTTGCTATAAACCACAACAAAACGTAGCAGCCACCAAGTTAGGGCCCCCCCCCCCCCCCCAATTGTATATTACCCAGCGTGGAATCGAACCCCTATTACACGAGTAAAAAATGAAATGCTTACAGCTAACTACGCTACTGAATACTCAGTCAGTTGGTAGAAATGAAAGTATGTAATAATTATGTGAAATTTGGTGTTACACAGTCGAGATGGCCCATCGATTGAAAACAAATCCGGGCGAGCAACGAAACAAATAATGATTTGACCGTTGCTGGTTTGTGCGATTTTATAACAAAAAATCACGCTTTGGGTCAGAGGCAACGTTGTGTGAAAATTTGAAAGCAATCGGTTCAGTAGTTTCTGAGTTTAGGAAAAACAACACCTGAAAATAAAATTTTTTATTAATAATATTAATATATATTTATTAATATAGATTATCGAGTTCCCTATGTTGGTTCTGAGGTCCCATTTAGGGGGAGGAAGCCAACTATCTCACCTCAACAGCTTTCATGCCCAAGGTGTCCTTGATATTCTTTGTCCACCATCATACTTGTGGATCCTGTTTCATCTTCTAGGGACCATATGCTCTTTCCTTTGTTTCTGTCCAAATCCTTATGATGTTTAAATGGCTAAAGTATTTTGTGTCTTTGAGCCAGTTCCCCTCCATGATCACATCCTGAAGTATGTCAGAAAATATATATCATTTATCCACAAAGAACTGAGTAAAGCCCTCCTCACTTGAGCTTGTTATGTTTCTTCCCACAATTTTCTGTTAGCTCAATAAAGTCTCCACTATACTCAAGCTCTGGAGGCCAGCTCATTGATTGGTGTGCCTCTAATACCTTCAGTTATGAATCTGAGACCAGTGTTCTGTATTTTGTCCAGTTTGTTTAGGTTTGATTTGGCTGCAGTGGAGTACACTCCCATGTCATACTCCTGTTTTCGTTGTACATATCCTGTGTATACTTGTCTTACTATGTTGGCATCTGCACCCCAGCTATTTCTAGTAAGTTTCTTCATAAATTTGAGCCACAGGTTCACTTTGCTTCTTCAATTTTGGGGCTCCAGGTAATGGTTTTGTTGAATTTTACTCCCAAATATGTGGGTTTGTCCTCTTTTGGAGGGATGTTGCCTTTAGATACAGATCAGTTTGTTCTGGCTTTGTGGAAAGAGTTGAGACATGTTCCGCTTGGGTCCATGTGGCCAGTTTGGGGAGGTCGTTGATAAAAATAAAAAAACAGGCTAGGAGATATAACACGTCCCTGAGGGACACCTTGTAGTCTGACCAGATTGCTCTTGTGTTTTTCCAGTCTGACTCGTGCGCAGTATCTGTAAAGAAAGTCTCTAATCCAGGCAAACATGTGTCCTTCTATCCCGGTGTGTGCTAGTTTTAACAAGAGTCCTTTCTTCCAAACCTTGTCACAGGCTTTGGTCAGGTCAAAGAAAGTAGCTAGCAGTTTGCATTTTTTCTGGAAAGCCTTTGAACTCTTGTGCGAGATAAGAGGTTTGGTCATTTGTCACTAATCTCTCCCATGGTCTTTCTAAGGCAGCTTGGGAGGATTATGAAACAGTAGCTTAATCTGTTTTCCTTGGGCTTTTCTGTCTTGGCTATGGGAAATTTGTCTGCCTCTTTCCATTCCTCTGGAAATAGTCCTTGGGTCTAGGAATGATTGATAAGGTCTAAGAGTCATTACCTACCAGTTGGTCCCAATTGTACTATTATTTTGTTTGTTATTCCATCAGATCCAGGTGCCATTTTTAACATGCATTTACATTCTTGGGACCTGCAGAGTTTTTTTCATTATATCTTGGTTATTTTCTTGCTTTTTATGTTTTCCTCAATTCTCTCATCACTTCTTCTCTCACTCCCGACATGAAAGATTTTGCTTTCCTCTGCCAAACTATCAACCAGCAGGTTTGCTGCTTGTTTACCAGTGAAATTTTCCCCACCATCTTCAGTGACAAGGTTGGCACAGCTGGTGTTTTTCTCTTCATTTAGTTGTTCACTAGCTGCACTTTTTTCCTGATGCATGTGAGTTGTTTCTGCAATGGATCTAAACAGTCTTGTTTCTTGTCTTGCTATTTCACACTCTCAGACTGCTATTCATCCATCTCTGGATTTCCTCCCATTTGTATTGTTGTCTGCCTTTTTGCTCTCTTCTTCTTCTGTCTTTTATGCTCCAATGGAGCACAGACCCTCAAACACCTAATGCCAAGTCATTCTATCCTTTGCGTGTGTGCAGCTCACCTTATATCCTCCCTGTCGTTTTAATTTCATTCTATAGCTCCCTTCTCCATGTGGCTGTTGGTCTACCTCTACTTCTATGCTCCTGTGGGTTCCAGTGCAAAGACATTCTGGTTATATGGTTCTCAGGTTTCCTATCCAATAGTTCTCTCCTAAAGGTCAACATTAGAGATGTTGTCATTCCCTGTTTGTGTTCTTGGACCTCATTATTGGGAAAACAAAAATAGTCCCACTGCCTACCCAAAAGTATGTTGTGAGAGTCGACTAATTGAGAGCTTGCTTCAAAGTTGGAGTGCATCTGCCTGAGAGGTGAGGAACCAGTAGTCTGCATACACTTGAGTCAGATCTGTAAAATGGATGTGCACATAACACTCAGGTTCTGAAACAGGACTTACGTCCAGAAGAGGAAGAACACCCAGAACTTTCCCCTGGAGTTTACAGCTGGTGAACAAGAAGAAGGAGAAGATTCCATTTAACTTCCTCTATTCTGTGCAGGCACCAGTTAATGAATGTTCGCTGTTAATTAGTAATTGCTTTTGTTGTTCTTCATGTTTCCACTTCATGCAACAGTACTGATTTGACATTAAAATTAAAAATTTTAAGTTTAGTATTAGTTTTCGATTCTTTTAACTTCCACATATTTCCTAATGTGCTGAAAGCTGATCTTGCCTTTTGCATTCATCTTGCTCCCTTGCCTTCTTTCAACCTGCATTTTGTTTATCGTTTCTATTGTAACACAGTCTGTGTTTATTTTTTTCAGGTCATACTGGGATGATGTTAATGAGCTGTTGGTTGGATTTGGTCAACAAGTTTGTCTGCCTGTCAAACCAAACTGTGCACAGTGTCTCAACAAGCTTATTTGTCCTTTTAATCAAAGTTATGGGATTAAATTGTCTTAGTTCCCCATTTAGGATCCCGGGCCTCATTTTGGGGAAAACAAGAACAGACCCACTGCTTGCCCAAAAGCATGTCGTAAGAGTCGACTAATTGGGAGCTTCCTTCGAAGTCGGAGTACATCTGCCTGAGAGGCAAGGAACCAACAGTCTGCATGCACATGTGTCACATCTGTGAAATGGATGTACACACAAAACTCAGTTTTTGGAACAGGACTGGAGTCCAGAAGTGGACGAACAACCGAAACTTTCCGCCGGAGTTTACAACCGGTGAACGTGAAGAAGAATTATCTTACTGGTCAGCTTACATGATGACAAAAGAAAAATATATAAATAAAAAAGGAAATGTTTGTTTTGATTAATTTTTTTTAATCTGATTTTTAATACACCTATTTTATATCAATAGCTGTATGTTTTCTTCTGTTCTCTAAGCTACAGAATTTATATTTTTCACACACAAGTTTACCAAAGCAGTAGCTTAGGTTTTAATCTGTAAGTATATAGGACTCAGGACCGATAAAACTAAAATAATGAGAAATAATCAAAAGTCAAAAAATCTAATTATTTTAAACTACGAAGCAATAGAAGAAGCTAGAGAAGTAAGATGGGGATTCTGAAAAGGATGTAACATCAAGAATAAAGAAAGCAATCCTTCTTGTGTGGGCAGTCAGTTTTATTTTGAGTCAGTCTCTTTCAAGTCATCTTCATTAGTTTTTTCATCTGTCCAAAGTATTCTCATATTCTTATTATTCCTCTGTAAAACCACATCTCTGCCGCTTCCAAATAATTTTTCACTAATCGTCCATCTGTCACTGATTCACATCTGTATATCAGGATAAGATTTATATAGATCTTGAGAATTCTTTCTCATCTCAGTTGACAAAGAAAGATTGCAGAGAATATTCTTCATTCAAAGAGGATATATAAAGATAAAATCTCAAGGTATTTTTAAAAAAAAAGGTAAATAACTTGTCCACATCATGTGAGGCTTGTTGGATATATGGTGTTAGCGCCATTGTTTTATAAACCAGTTGACACTTGTTGGGTAGTACGGTTATGCAGAACAATGGCTGATGAAACTTAAAGTTAGTTGATACTAATTCAAGAAATAAGAGAAATGTGGGTTTCGGGGGCCCATTGGGGGAAAACAAGAATAGATCCATGAGTATGTCGTAAAGGTCTACTAACTAAGAAAGGGGTGGGGGAGGGGAGGGGCTTCCTTAAAAGTCAGAATGCATCCCCCTGAGAGTCAAGGAACCAACAATCTAAATACAAATAAGTCAGATCTGTGAAATGGATGTGCTCACAACACTCCGTTTCTGGAACAAGACTAAGTCTAGAAATGGACAAACAACCAGAACTTTCCGCCGGAGCTTACAGCTGGTGAACGCGAAGAAGAAAAGGAGGAGTATCAACAATTAAAAAATAAAGAAGATGGCGATTTAGTGCATCATGAGAAGAAGGGGACAAAGAATTGGCAGATATGTACCAAAATGGGATACATTTATAGCTGTGTGGTGGATGAGGTTGTGGAAGATTACTCCCAGCCTTTGCCAACTCCTCTGCTCTCTCATTTCCTTGAATACCACAGTGGGCTGGTATCCACTGCAAGACCAGTTCTGCTTCCTTGGAAAGAAAGCCAATGTTGGTCCTTAGATCTGCAATTAGTTTAGTATGTCTGGTTTTTTGCATGACAGTGCTTGGAGAACAGACAATGAGTCACTAAGTATAACAATTTTGTGCCCTCTGTGTTCTTGAGGGATGAGATGTTGGACTGCAGAAAGGAGAGCAGTTGCCTCAGCTCTAAAGATAGTGCAGATGTCACCTGCTGGTAGAGGGAGAGTTTCTTCTCTACTGCTAGGAGGTTTAATGTATATTCCACAGCCCCCTTTTTTGACTGCATCTGTAGCAGAGCCGTCGATGAAAACCTGAGTCCAAGTGGTGGTGGGATACTTATCGTCAAGCACAGCAAAGTCAGGGTTCTCTGTTGTGTCTCCGTCTGGGCATCTTTTGAAGTGATCCCTGATACCTTTAGGACTACATTTGCCTTCTCTAGCTTGCTTGTCCATGGTTCTGGCCTGAGCTTTTCGCACAGTGCTGCAGATCTTGATGCTGTCTGTACAGTTCTCTAGCAAGGTGGTTGGGGCTCTGACGCTTTAGTGTGTTTTTTGTTCTCTCTTGAAATTTAAAATGCGGTGGGTGACTTTGAAGTCTTTTTAATTTCTCATACTGTAAAATAGTTTTGTTTTGTCTTCTGAGTTCGAGTGGTATTGAAGCTCTGTCTCAAGAGGGCTAAATAAATCAAAACATTTTCATAACAACAGATATTATTCTGTTGTTGAGGACAGTAATAAGGTCCCTAAACTAACATAAATATTTAATGAGACACCTGTTGCACTGTTTTGTAGTTTCCTTATTTCAAGTTCATTTGATGAATTACCCTGTGTGGGTTCCAGGACCCTATTATAGGGAAAACAAGAATACACCCACTGCCTACCCGTGTGGGTTCAAGGACCCTGTTATAGGGAAAACAAGAATAGACCCACTGCCTACCCTATGTGGGTTCCAAGACCCTATTATAGGGAAAACAAGAATAGACCCACTGCCTACCCTATGTGGGTTCTAGGACCCTATTATAGGGAAAACAAGAATAGACCCACTGCCTACCCTATGTGGGTTCCAGGACCCTATTATAGGGAAAACAAGAATAGACCCACTGCCTACCCTGTGTGGGTTCCAGGACCCTATTATAGGGAAAACAAGAATAGACCCACTGCCTACCCTGTGTGGGTTCCAGGACCCTATTATAGGGAAAACAAGAATAGACCCACTGCCTACCCTGTGTGGGTTCCAGGACCCTATTATAGGGAAAACAAGAATAGACCCACTGCCTACCCTGTGTGGGTTCCAGGACCCTATTATAGAGAAAACAAGAATAGACCCACTGAATACCCAAAGGCATGTCATAAGAGTCGACTAATTGGGAGCTTCCTTCAAAGTCAGAGTGCATCTGCCTGAGAGGCAGGGAACCAACAGTCTGCATACAAAGTATTAAGATCTGTCAAACGGATGCACATGCAACACTCAGGTTCTGGAACAGGACTGCAGTCCAGAAGTGGACGAACAACCGAAACTTTCCGCCGGAGTTTACAACTGGTGAACGTGAAGAAGAATTATCTTACTGGTCAGCTTACATGATGACAAAAGAAAAATATATAAATAAAAAAGGAAATGTTTGTTTTGATTAATTTTTTTTAAATCTAATTTTTAATACACCTATTTTATATCAATAGCTGTATGTTTTCTTCTGTTCTCTAAGCTACAGAATTTATATTTTTCACACACAAGTTTACCAAAGCAGTAGCTTAGGTTTTAATCTGTAAGTATATAGGACTCAAGACCGATAAAACTAAAGTAATGAGAAATAATCAAAAGTCAAAAAATCTAATTATTTTAAACTACGAAGCAATAGAAGAAGCTAGAGAAGTAAGATGGGGATTCTGAAAAGGATGTAACATCAAGAATAAAGAAAGCAATCCTTCTTATGTGGGCAGTCAGTTTTATTTTGAGTCAGTCTCTTTCAAGTCATCTTCATTAGTTTTTTCATCTGTCCAAAGTATTCTCATATTCTGATTATTCCTCTGTAAAACCACATCTCTGCCGCTTCCAAATAATTTTTCACTAATCGTCCATCTGTCACTGATTCACATCTGTATATCAGGATAAGATTTATATAGATCTTGAGAATTCTTTCTCATCTCAGTTGACAAAGAAAGATTGCAGAGAATATTCTTCATTCAAAGAGGATATATAAAGATAGAATCTCAAGGTATTTTTAAAAAAAGGTAAATAACTTGTCCACATCATGAGGCTTGTTGGATATATGGTGTTAGCGCCATTGTTTTATAAACCAGTTGACACTTGTTGGGTAGTACGGTTATGCAGAACAATGGCTGATTAAACTTAGCTAGTTGATACTAATTCAAGAAATAAGAGAAATGTCTGGACAAACTTTGGTATCAACACGCTTTCCCCATGTGGGTTCCAGGGGCCCATTATGGGGAAAACAAGAATAGTTCCACGAGCATGTCTTAAAAGTCTACTAACTAAGAAAGGGGTGGAGGAGGGGAGGGGCTTCTTTAAATGTTGGAATGCATCTGCCTGAGAGTCAAGGAAACAACAATCTAAATACAAATAAGTCAGATCTGTGAAATGGATGTGCTCACAACACTCCGTTTCTGGAACAAGACTAAGTCTAGAAATGGACAAACAACCAGAACTTTACGCCGGAGCTTACAGCTGGTGAACGCGAAGAAGAAAAGGGGGAGTATCAACAATTAAAAAATAAAGAAGATGGCGATTTAGTGCATCATGAGAAGAAGGGGGACAAAGAATTGGCAGATATGTACCAAAATGGGATACATTTATAGCTGTGTGGTGGATGAGGTTGTGGAAGATTACTCCCAGCCTTTGCCAACTCCTCTGCTCTCTCATTTCCTTGAATACCACAGTGGGCTGGTATCCACTGCAAGACCAGTTCTGCTTCCTTGGAAAGAAAGCCAATGTTGGTCCTTAGATCTGCAATTAGTTTAGTATGTCTGGGTTTTTTGCATGACAGTGCTTGGAGAACAGACAATGAGTCACTAAGTATAACAATTTTGTGCCCTCTGTGTTCTTGAGGGATGAAATGTTGGACTGCAGAAAGGAGAGCAGTTGCCTCAGCTCTAAAGATAGTGCAGATGTCACCTGCTGGTAGAGGGAAAGTTTCTTCTCTACTGCTAGGAGGTTTAATGTATATTCCACAGCCCCTTTTTTGAGTGCATCTGTAGCAGAGCCGTCGATGAAAACCTGAGTCCAAGTGGTGGTGGGATACTTATCGTCAAGCACAGCAAAGTCAGGGTTCTCTGTTGTGTCTCCGTCTGGGCATCTTTTAAAATGATCCCTGATACCTTTAGGACCACATTTGCCTTCTCTAGCTTGCTTGTCCATGGTTCTGGCCTAAGCTT